AGCACCATCCCCGCTGTTATTTTCGGACCATGGTCCTAGCGACACGCCCAACTCATTCTCACTCGCTCCATTACCACACTGGTACCAACGACCCCAACCTCCTCCCATCACAACTTCCAACACACACGGCGTGATATCGCTGAACTCTCCTGAGCGCTCACCAGTACCCAATCAAAGCACCACCCACAATTCACCTTTCTTTTCTGATTTCAAGGAGTCATCAGCTAGCCCTCAATCCACACCCATTGACTCGGAAGATTCGGACATTGGTGCTAGCCGAGCGCTGCAGTCTCTTCGCGTCAGCTCACTCAAAGGAAGTCGCGCAAGTTCACCCTCTCTTTCTACAAAGCAGTCTCGTGCACGTGCACCTACTCAGAGTGCTTCACCTCAATCTAGTCGCCCCCCCTCTTCATCACGCAAACGCCCTGGTGGCAGCACTCTCGATCAGACCTCTGCCGCTGCAGATAGGATGTCTCAGACGGCAGATTCCATAATGACGCACCTTAACAGCAAACGTGAGGATCGTGTGGAGCACGAACGCTATAAACGCATGAAACTTGAGACTGAAATTTGGGCTCGTGATCTCAAGGCCTGCAGTGCTCGTGATGAGCGGGAGCATGCGATGCGTCTATCTGACCAAGATCATCAGCACCAGCAGGAGAGGATGACTCAACAGATGGAATTTGCAAGAATTGAGATTGAGCTATCTCGTGCACGTCGGGAGGAGGAGGAGGCTCGAATTTGTCGTATTGCTTTGGAGCGCGGTCTTGATCAAAACTAAGTAGGTTTGCACTATGTTGTCACGTAACAGGTTTTCAGGAAATGCATTCCATGTTGTACTCGATGGTGCCAACTCAGAGAGCTCACTAAAACGCTCCTTTCTCGAGCAAATCTCAAGCACAACTGACCCCTCCTAGAGCTCGCCAAAACGCTCCTTTCTTGAGAAAATCTCAAGCGCTACTGACCCCTCCTAGAGCTCGCCAAAACGCTCCTTTCTTGAGAAAATCTCAAGCACTACTGACCCCTCCTAGAGCTCGCTAAAACGCTCCTTTCTCGAGAAAATCTCAAGTGTGACCTTGCGAGCCAAAAGGAATATGTATAGGTACAAGTACATTTAATATAATACTAACTACCTTCGCTCCAACGACGAAAGCAACCGCGTCTTTAACGTGTTACGAAAATCCTGCCCCACAGTTCCAATGTAAGTCTGATCACCTACTGCGCCACCCTGTTGCTGATCATCCTCTCCTCCGTCACCGTCAGCTCGCCTCAATCTCCGAGTTTGCTGATAGAAGCATATGTTCGAGTCTTCGCGGTTTTCTGTTTCCTCAATTTCAACAATTAAGTTGTGCAGAATGAAGCACGAACGGATCCACATGTTCGCGTAGTCGAGGTCCTTCTGGCTTTGGATTGGGATGCGAAGCTCCCGCAGTGATTGGAACCGGCCCTTGATAGAGCCGAAGAAGTGCTCTGAACGAACGCGGACCTAGACACTGGGTGAGGACGACAAAAGTATATTAGTACTGATGCTCACTGTTGACAGGTTATAATTGAATGTCCTTTGCTCGGCCGTCAAAGACCCTCCCGCTGGCCGTTTGTACGGCGGCACACACCAAATTCGCGCAGCATACGCCGAGTCCGCCCACAACCACTCTCCCGCACCAAAAAACGACTCGGGATGCCGGGAGACCCTCGTTCGTGCAAATACGTTCGAGTCGTGAAGACTCCCGGGTACGCCAATGACGTAGTCAACGATACGCAGATTATGAGGGAATATGATGACCTTTTGGATTGTAAGTCGCTGCGCTGCACACTGAGCCGATAGTAGATACTTACCTGGGCTGTTAGAGAGTAGTCAGAGTTCTTGTCAAAGAACCCTTCGCCGTGCCAACTGGGCTTCTCGTGTAGAGGGGACGGAGTCCCATCTACACAAAGGAAACCGCCGCGCCACTCACGACATGTCTTCTGCTCCATGTACGCTTTTGCCCGCTCTCGCTCAATCTGGTCCTCACGATCGAGCGGATCAAAATGTATGGCGCGATCATGCAGTTGCAAGATCGCGATCATGACTCGCTTGTAGCAGTTGTAGATGGTCCCTACGGACACTCCAGCCCAATCGGATATGTCTTCAGTAGTCGCAGCATTGCCATAATGGCCGACACCATTGAGAAAGATCGCGAGCTGGACGGCGACAGGAAGTTGTGGATTATTTGAGTTATTATGGAAAATGGGGTGGGCTTGGATTAACGTTGTGAGTTTGTTGAATACCTCTGCATCAATGCGAAGCTTGCGGCGAAATTTTTCAGGTGAGAGCAGCGCCCATTCTTGCAGCAGGTGTAACTGCGGTGCGCGAGTCAGAGATGGACGCACGTCAAGTACCCGACACTTCTCCACTTCATCATGCAGTGCCCCGATCGCATCAATAAAGTGCGTAAACACTTGATCGCACATGTCTGGGATATCGAGTGATAGGACATCAGAATATGCTGTTGAAAGCGAGGTTACTAGAGAGCTGATGGACAACGTGGATATGACGGATGACGTCGGGGACTCCGGCCATGTTGGCGATGCGGTCCATATGCTGACATCTGACCCACTATCACCATCCGATCCCTTATCAGAGCTATTGTCAGAGCCCTCCTCGAGGAGCTGATCCACCATAAATTCAATCAACTCCATGTATCGCGCAATCGTAAGGTCATTTGTCGTTTGCTTCAGACTACGAAGTAGTTTTTTGCGATCCGATTCTCGAGGCATCTTCCGATGTCGTTGCAGAACGTTATCAATATGATGGTCACGGTAAGGTACGATGATGATGGGCGGTGGTAAGATATGAGCTTGATTTGTCATCGTCGGAGTTCTAATTATCGGCAAGTCGCAAATTTCTTACCTCTTGAAATTTCTACGATTTTAACTTTGAGGACCGCTAATGTTCGGTACTGCTGCTCAATGCACTATGATGTTTGAAAGGCATATCATACAGCACTTTGCACGATGTAAACGAAGATCGTTGTGTTGTCGACCGCTGTCAGGCTCGTGACCAGCCTGGCATATCCATATCCTACCACGGATGCTCAAGTGGTGCAGTTCTCACTTATCTCAAATTGACGCATAGTCAGACTGTTTACGAGTCTAGCCAGCAGATCGTTGACGGAAATTTGTAAAGTAAGCACTTTGCATAGCGTAACAAACTAGTACTTATATGTGGTTCCATCAGTTGAACCACACTGCACCAATGGGAAGCAGAAACACGACTCATATGCATACTCAGTACCACGCCGGTGAGGCAATAAATTCTGGATGAAACTACTCATACTCACGGGTGAGTATATTAGCTAGTAATCATGCATAACCAGGGCAGCAATCCGCAGTTGTGTCGCAAGACATGCCATACATTTGGCATTCACTGTCAGCACTGACAGCCATGGCCACTGTCGAAGCAGCAACAACGGCGAGGACGACTTGGAAGGAAAGACACATTATTTGTGAGATGCGACATAGATGGAATCTCAGAGATAAATCTGAAGGGGGACGGTAGGAAGACGACTCGCTTCTTATATCCTGAATACTATTCTGTGCAGACGCTACCCACCTGAAAACAGGTGTCATTTGCAATGTCAGTGGATCGCCAGCAGACCTCAAACTCGGATGTCAAGGACCGACGCTCCAGAAAGCCATGCTTCATCGCACGAATCCATTAGGCTTACAACGAGGAGAAAACAATGTGATATAATTGATTCAGTCACAAATCATACATTCAAGGTCTTAAGATGTTTCTCTATCCTAAAATCTTCATTGTCCGAGCAGCAGTGAAATTTGTTCAGAAGTAAGCATTTCTGCAACAAACCACACTGCGCCAATGAGAAAGCAAAAGCATAACTCACTGTAGCTCATTCGGCCTCATTGGGACTCACATGCACCTAGGTATTCTCCTGTCTACGGCGCCCCGGTTGGTGAGTCCACAAATCCTAGATGAAACTACTCATGCTCACCTCAGGCTCGTCACGCCCCAGGAGCGCTGATGACACGCATACATAGCCACGGCAGCAATCGCGGTTTCTGCCGCAAAGGCCGCCAGCTGTGTGGCATTCGATGTCAGCACTAACAGTCAGGGACGCTGTCAAAGCAGCAAGGACGGCAAGTACGACTCGGAAGGAGAGAAGCATTATTTGTGATATGTGATTGTGAAAATAGATTGGTAGGAAGACAGGGCGCTTTTATACTATTTCGCTAAGAAATTACTATTACAGATGGCCTTTGTCATGCCAGCAGATTGTTGACGAGCTTTATCAAGCACTTCGCACAGCGTCATAGTCATAAACTACTTGCGTAGACGTAATCCTAACTCACCGCTCGTTTGTAGTAACGAAAGGACGCCCAAAATATATCGCCGAGCGGGTTATCCACAATTCTCTCGGAAATTCTTTCAGAATTGATGATGAAGTACTGAACAAAAAGGCGCAGGTGTACAATATCGCCTGGAATTCGAGACTGAGCTGTATAAAAATTCGTATGCAAACTTTGTGGTCAAGTATCAAATAGAGATGATCCTACTGAGACTTACATTCCATCATTATCTCCATCATCATTGAAAGCTACGTCGTTTCAGAATCGTTGTGAATCATTGCAGATGGATGGTGGACAATGCGAATTGTAGCACCACACTTGCAGCCTTTCATGCAAAACGCGCTGCAGCTCGTCCTATGCTACCTCTTGCCCTGATGTAGATCAGCGGCGGTCGGCAACTCGAAAAGTCCGTCTACAAGATGTAAGGGCAAAGGTTGATTCCGCGGAAACAATTTACATTCACAGGCGAGTTTGAGATCCAACATCCTGCACCTGTTTCCCGTCGTTCGCGTTCTTTCTGTTAGGCTGTTTGAACTGTGTCACCTGTGTGGTTGATTTCTGCGACCGGGCTGGCTGTTCAGTTCTTCCAGCACAAGCCGCAAGCTGGGACCTTTGTGGGTGATGGCGAATTGGTTGGGAGAGGATAATCAGCACACGAAATGTCACTACTTAGCTAGAACACCTGTAGAACACCTGTCAAACAATTGTGCACATGCCATTTTGCAGCGGAGTATTCTAGAAACACGGCTCAAGTTCTACGGATATCGTCACACGTGGTCATGGGACGCACTGGAACCGTGAAAGGCTTTAATAGTAGGTTTTTTAAGGCAAGTATCTAATATACATCTATCAAACAACCTTGCCGGAAATCAGTCAAGTTCTCTTCATTAACGTGTTGCGGAGCTGCATACCTTGGGTGCTAAACTGACAATCTTCCCCCAGCCTTTCATGCGCAAGTCAGCACTCACGACGCCACCAATACGCGTCCCCAGCATCTCTCTCTTGTTATTCAAAAGGACTGCCGCATTATCATCAAACCTGATGAAACGCCCGTCTGGTCTTCGAACTGACTTCTTGGTTCGCACGATGACTGCTCGACGAACATCTCCACGTCGGACTTTGATCGCAGTCGTAGATGCCTGAGTCGCCGCCGATACTGGGCGCGCGCGTTTGACGACGCAGACTATTTCATCACCGACAGAGCCCCAGCCGTTATTGACCTTCTGTTTGAGGACATTGACGCACTCGATGAGTAGTGCGCCGGAGTTGTCGATTACCTGCATAAATTTTGTGAGCTGAGTTAGGATATAAAATGGATACAGAACTTCACCGACATTAAGTGTAGACTTGAGCCCAATCATCACCTCAAATGACAGACGAAAAAAGCAAAGAATGTGGGATTGGTGGCAGTGACTTGTGGTGGGGCGGGTGGGAATTAATATGCATATATGTATTCGATAAGGTATACCGTATAGGCATTTTTATATTGTCATCAAGTATGTTCTCAACCGCGTTGTGTATGTGTTGTAACCCGGTCGATAGTCTTGGGAAATCGGCGTTAGCAAGGTCACCATCAATATTAATGCCAGTTGTGTGAGGCTCATTCATCGCCTTACATTCGGCATGTCGTGAACCAAAAAGTTGGTTTGAGGACATACCATACGTTTATGGAGATGTATTTTCCACGCGAAGTAGGTACCGATGAAGGACTGCCATGGTCGTGAACTCAAACTCCACTCGCTGTCTTTCTTTCTCCCTCCATCATCTCTCCACATAATACGTCAGTTTTTGATCAAGAATGCCTGCCTCGCGTCGCGGAAGTGGTAGCTTCACGCTAACTACAGGTCAGACAATCGCCATCCATACCCGGACGCAAGATGAGGAAGACCTCCCGCATGCAACTAAGAAGTACGTAGAATTATCGATAATACTTGACCCATTAGTCTTATCTTGTGAAATCGCAGGACGATGGCTGATCACTTGAGAAAATACGAGAGTTTGTCAGTCGTCCTATGATCAGGGGCTCCAACGATGGATCCACTGAATCCTCGTTGCACAGGTTCACACTCACACCGCAGAGGATGCGGATGATTGTCGAAGCCTTTACTGAAACACTCGAACTTGGTTTGAACAAGCCCAACCAGATTGTAGTGCGTATGTACTCCATACATCTCACATTGAATGAGATCATCTTGCGTTTGTTGTTCAAACTCGATTCATTTTTGCATTCGGTCGTGGGACGAGACAAATCAATCTATGTTTCGATGTTCTTGATCCTCGACGCTTTCGCATTTATGTTATGAGCGGTTTCCGACCGTGTGCTGAATTAGTCCTTGTAGCCTATGATTCCGACGTACGTGTTTGGATGGCCAACAGGTCAGGAGAAAGGAGATTTCCTTGCTCTTGATCTTGGTGAGTGATTTGCCATTTGTGCCATTTTTTCTGGGCCCTAAATATATTCATGCGAACGCATTTCGTTATAGGTGGAACAAATTTGCGTGTTTGTCTTGTGACCCTTCAGGGAGAGGGAAAATTCGAGATTTCCCAAACCAAATATCGTTTGACTGAGGAGCAAAAACAAGATGACGGCCAGAAGTTGTTCGATTTCTGTGCTGAATGCTTACATACCTTTGTTGAAACCAACACGGGCGAGGGCGCGGGCCAACTGAAGCCTGGCCAATCCCTACCTCTTGGGTTTACCGTAAGTCAGTGGCTATCATAACGGCATCCTTCTAACTATGTAGTGTTCAGTTCTCCTACCCTTGCTCGTAAGTGCGCATGATGCAATTGTTAGTTCAGTGCATGCAAGATCGACGTGTTTCGGTATTCAGGCAGGAGCGCATTGACCACGGCGAGCTCATCCGCTGGACCAAGGGTTTCGGAGCTGGAAATACGGAGGGCAGGGATGTTGCCGAGATGTTCAAGAAGTCCCTGGAGAAATACGTACGTTCTGCCTATCTCAAATTTCCATTCATACTGACTCGCATACGAACAGCAATTGCCCATCAAACTAACCGCTCTTATCAACGATACAACTGGAACGTTGATTGCATCACATTATGTGAACCCTAAAACGAAGATCGCGGTTATCTTCGGAACTGGTTGTAATGCGGCTTATATGGAGAACGTCAAGAATATCACCAAAATAGAGCATTTGGGCATCGATCCTGGAGCTGAGATGGCGATTAATTGCGAATGGGTCTGTAAGGTTTGGTTCCAGTCTCAACACTCTATTGATGAGCTTGGCAGGGTGCATTTGATTCATTCGAACACGAGCATCTGCCTCGCACGAAATACGATACGGTCGTCGATGATACTTCAAATAAGCCTGGAGAACAGGCATTTGAAGTGGGTACATCTGTTGTGGAACATTATTAGCGTGACATATCCACTATCCAGAAACTCATCTCCGGCCGGTACTTGGGCGAAATTCTGCGACTAGTTCTTTGCGAGCTCATCGACGAAGGTGTACTCTTCCTGGGCCAGAACACTTACAAACTCGAGAAACCATACTGTTTTGACACCGCTTTCTTGTCTCTCATGGAGAGGTGCCGCATTTCCCACTCGAGTGAAAACGTGCATATGCTCATCGTCGTGTTCTCAGTGACCCAACGGACGAACTTCTCATGGTGATCGGAATTTTCACACATTTCTTCGCCCTCGAGACGACGCTCGCGGAACGGCAGTTCTTCCGGGCTCTTGCGAAACTCATCGGAAGGCGTGCGGCTCGTTTAAGCGCTTGTGGTATTGCTGCAATCGTCAGCAAGATGAATTATCTAGACGAGGGATGTTCAGTCGGGGCGGATGGCTCCTTGTACAACGTAAAAGCCCTTCTTTCTGTCTTACCGCAGGATGCTCACGCCTATGCAGAAATACCCTGGGTTTGCCGATCGCGTACACGAAGGTTTGCAGGACATTTTCGGCGACAAGGGACGGTGAGTAGTTATTGTTTGATATGCCCTTTTCCTTCCAATCTGAGCGCATGGAATCACAGCAATATCGTTACGTACCACGCTGAGGATGGCAGTGGTGTAGGTAGTGCGATTATTGCAGGTTCGTATCTTCGCCGTATCAGTTGTTCGGTAAGCTTATGCTCGTGTTATTTTAGCCATGACGAAGCACAGGAAGGATGCCGGGTTGTACCTTAATGTTTGATCGTACTATTTGCGTGCATAAGAGGGGAATATTGAATACAGAAGTGTATGCGTTTATGTACTTTGCTATCTCCTGGCCCTTAGAGTTGTGTTCTTGATTTTCCATAAATGTCCCCAGGGTAATGACGGACCCTACTTACGTGGGGGGTCATCTCCTATGTAAAGCTCTTCTATTGTGGATGAAAGTAGGTGTATTTATGTAAGATGCCAACTGTCTCTGTCAAATCCAGGGTAACTACACATATCTCGTAAAGGCATTGTAGCGAAAGTATTGTCACATAACGTAGCTTGTACATAAAATCCAGGTCACCCCCGCAAGTCTCATATCGCCCTGCCAAAGGTAACGGGCGCATTCGCATAATCTTCCGTAGATTCTAATGACGGGTATGGTAACTTGGGAGAGCGTATTGATTCATCGCGGGCGGGTTCTTGGTGAAAGGAAATCTCAACGTTCAGTGGAGCGGCTGGGGGAGGGGGCTTTGGTAAGTCCAACGGCCGCCGCAACTGAATGGAGTTTTCCTCCATGAGAGTGGTGGAGCGATTCGTCCAGGCCTTGCCCACTGCGATGCGGTAGATAATAAGAAGTGGGGCAACGACCTATAGTACAAAAGTAAGTCATACTTCATTCCGAGTAGCATGGGGATACTTACCTGCGCTTCGCCCAGTAATTGCATGAATGCATATGCGATCGGGCTGTTGAGGGTATACGGTATGAGGTAAAGAAGCGAACATATCGAGTAAATGGCAGCGGATTCGATAACGATGGCTGCGAAACTAGCGTAAATCGCGCCGTGGCCTAAGCCTAGGACTTTGGATATACGGTGGCGGTGGTATAGAAGGCGTATGACAGTGAGGAGGCTGATGAAGATATTGATGGCGAGGGAGAAACAGAGATATGGGAAGAGTAAGCTAAAGGACATCCAGCCGCTTGCGGATTGTACTGGTGTTGAGACAATAACAAGCCAGAGGGTTCCTGTGACTTGTGAAGGGTCAAAAGGGATTGCGAAGACACATGTAAATCTGGCACATACCGAGAGTTCCGAGGAACAGAAGAGATCCAAGTCCAACAATGATGAAGTAAATTCCAGTATCTCTGTATACTACGGTACACCGCCAGATCTATGGTGCGTGTTCGATGGTGGAGATGGGAGATACGACGGTACACTTACCATCAACAGGTCTGCACACCAATCTGAAACCACGAAAGCGGTGTTCAGTGGAGGTGACGAGGTCGCCTCCTCGAATGCACTGGGGCCTGAGTAAGAACATAAGCATACCATGCAGTCTATTTTGAAAGTTGCACATACCATCGGGATATAAACGATTGTCAATAAAGCCCAGTTGCGTTATCTGGGCGTTGAACGCTACATATATCGTACCAACCACAAAGAGGAAAGCGACATAGCATAAGAGGAATCTGTTCGTCTTGTATCCAGTAGCATGCGATTGAGCGCGGGGCCAGAGGGAGCGCCAACACATGATAGACAAGACGATCACCACGCCATAAAGGACGCCAGTGACGATGGCCCCCTGCAGCCATGCGCCCTCCGCATATATCAGTGCATTAGATTCATCAGGGCGGTAAGACATAGGTGCTTAAGCAGCGCTGATCTAAAAGTCGAGAACTATGCGCTGCAGTTTGATGAGAGTCTGGCCGTTCTAGAATAGCACAGTGTGACGCATATATATCACTTGACCTAAATCACGTTGTTCGCTAAAGCGCTGATAGGCTGACCCGGCCAACCTTCTTTCTCAAGACGGGTTGTTGACGCTCGAGTCGTGACGGCAGTAACGGCAGGGTCGTGAGAGGGCCTGACGGAATGTCCCATTTTGATTTTGATGGAGTTTGAGTTGGTGGGGATGGTATTCGGAAAAACAAAGAACCCACAAACGTTAATGAACAATGAACAGTCGTCTGTACCGTGAACGGAACGAGGCAGCGGCGCAGCGCGGTACCTATGGTACTGGTAACAGTACTAGGTCAATCCAGAGTCAACCTGACGTAGCCTGAAGGCCTGACGGCTCGTTGATGTCTGTGGCTGACCTCTAAAGGAAGGTGGCCAAAGCGGATGGGTTTCGGAGCTTGTTTCAAGCGTTGAGAAGGAAACTGCTTTCCGTCTTCCGAAAGCTGCGGAGTGCGCATCACCGAGCGACAGCTAAGGTCTAGACGAGTCTAAGGTTTGGTGAAGGATGAACGTTCAACGTTGACACAACAAAGTTTTGTGAACTTTGAAGCGCGTTCTCTCAAAGTTCGCTGACGCGAAGTATCGTCACTTTGAGGTACGACCGTGGCTGACCGATCCAGATTACATACATAGGGCACGCACATGATTGTTCCGCTGGCAGGTTTCCGCAACTTATGACGTTGGTTGCGTAACTCAACATGATTGTGTCCTGCAGCAGGTGTTGGTACTGCTGCGCTGTCACGCACTTCGTCAATCATGCAAATGCAGCCACAACCGTGATGAGTACTACTGGGGTATCACAACTTCAGGGGACACTAGGGTCTCATAGATTAGAAAGTACTGTCCTACTCAGGGTATCGACAAGCTGATATTAAAAAAATTCTTGGGGTGAGAAGAGATTCAGACATGCCATCTAGCTCTCTTGTCTTGCGGCGTCCACCAAACATGACAGTTGTATGACATGTGCAATTGAATTTGGATTAGTATATTACAGGTAAGGAACGAGTCAGGCCTACAAGTGCGGAAGGTTGAAGAACCGTGTTGGCGGACCTGATGATGTCAGCCAAGGCCGATACTTACGACTGCATTACAATGAGTTGATTAGGAGATCTAGTCGTCGCCGTAGTTTCGTGATCCGCATTAATCCACTGATTAATACGTCAATAGGCAGCTGGTTGGTTGATCACGCAATCACGACTGCAGTTGGATGTGAGTCAGAATCAAAACAGTACTAGTAGAGTTGGGGCTAGGTGGGGAATCACCAGGTATCACCGCAAATGACTAAGTACAGGCTGCTGCCGCTGTATGTCAGTGCCAAGAATGTTACGAAATTATCGGCAAATACCGTCATAAACACTCGTGATAAAATCTCGACCGAAGTTCCTCGGGCGAGACTCAACGAAGGTGGACCGTCGGCGATGATGAAACGTTGTGGCAAAATCCGTCTCGGAGGTAGCGTTGATCGCACGATTCGCACCGGTCCTGCATCGAGATTGAAACGACTGAGATACTGGCTTTGATCGCGCCGGTCCCGGCTTCTGCCAGTGCATCGTGCTTCGAATGATTGAGAAAACTAGCATCGTTGGCAAGGAATCGGTATGGAAAGACTGTTTCCTTCTAGATGATCGTCTGGCTATGGGATACTGACCCAGCAGGGCACACAGTGACAATAGTCCCATCCGTCTCTCTAGCCTCCTTTTGACATTGTTTTCTTGAAACCGCACTTCCACGGCTCTGATGGACCGATCTTGGTATCAAAGTTTTAAATACTGATACGAGGTCCCCGACTGACAGCTTCTGATGGTGTTCTGAAAAGTCCAAGATCGCGATACACATGGAGGGATGGACCCTCGATTGTGAGTTTTAGCACTTGAGGAAAGCGTAATGTGCGTAGGCCGCTGCTGCATCCGGTACAGGCACAAGATGTAGATCACTTCACCAGCGAGTAATCGCGAAGGCTGATTAACGTCTGTTGATCTAACGTAAGTCAAGTGATACAAGTTTCCTCTCAGGAACGCACGCGCACATACGCAATAAGACTGCGGGGTTATTTGGTAGTTTGTCTTGATATGGAGGATGCGAGTGGCCCGTTGTGCTTCAAACGTAGACGAAAGAACTGGAGGGATTGATATGGATTGGTTAGTTCTGACACCAGAGACTAGCAACCAACGCACGAGTACGATATCGATGTAGATAAAGGTAGATCACACGCGAACGAATGATATCGCATAACAAAGATATGACTGATAAGTTGTAGAGATGAGAAAGGATCGGCAGCCGACTTGGATCAGAACGCTTCGTGAGAGTCGTTGCATACGCCCGCCGAATCGGTTGAGAAAGCCTTATCAGAAGTGTGATTGAGGGCGAGCGATAGCAAGTAGGAACTGATAGGGAGAACATTGTGAGTTAACAATTTCAATTCAACAACCTAACGACTTGAAACCAACATTCGGAATGCTACGCCGTACAAACAGCTAAGCAAATTATTTGGGTAGAGTAGTAAATAGTTGAAACGTGCGTGATCTCATGACACCAGTGCGGGTTCCTAGATGTCCGTGGAGAGATAAATCCTAGGGTCCAGACGGCATTAAGGAAAGTTCTCTTACGATCTATTTAGACCGACGTACCAATTATGTATTCGATGAGCAACGTTTGCAATTTTGAGGTCTCGAGATAGTCATGATGTGAGAAAAAGAACGGTGTAGGCTCGTAATAAAGTGCCCCGTGGAAGCAGCTAGGTTGCGGCAAGGTTGAGGCCAGCGGGCATTTCCGCAATGATCTGAATCATATCTGACGATGTTTTTGAAATAGTGTAGGCTGAGCCCTTTCGGAGCTTCCGAGTCGAGTAGGAACTACGGTAAAAGTTAGCTTGAACAGATTAGCGCCATGATAGCAGTCAAGGTTAATTTGATACCTTCGCGAAGCTCTATGGCCAAATGACTGCCAGTGACTCATGGCTGACTCAGGTCAGGATGATCTTTGAAAGTTTTTGCAGAAACTTAGTCGCCGTTACTAGTTAGCTAGCAACTGACTCGGGATCTGAATGAAAGCCTGGCCCACTGAGGGATAGAATGAAATGATAATGCTATGATCGTCGCAACTGCGGAACCTCGGGGACCAGGCTAGACGAGCTAAAACTGATGCAATGCAGCCGCTTACGCCGTGTGAGACAAGATCCGATCGTGTCAGTTTCCCCGCATATTTATTACGGATTTCCAAACAAACTGCCTAAATATCTTTTCTTTGCGCACTCTCTCCCTTTATAATTAACCAACCTGGCTCACCTCTATTTCATCTTTTCTTGACTTTCCGTCACCAACCATTTCTCAGAAGCTCGCATGATCTTGCTATGAAAGTACTGAGAAGCCCTGTCTCCACCCGCATCGTCAGGCCTACGACCGCTCTCAAGCCCACAAATGTCTCTCGAAACTTGGCTACCGCAATCTCCATAACTCCTCCTTCCTACCTCTCTCTACCTCCTCCGGGTCCACCCCAACCTCGTCTTCCAGGCCCTTCTGGTAAGCAATAAGGCATTTTGGCTGTTCCTTTTTACTCAAAAATCTTCAGTCGTCGCCTCTTTAGGAACCGAATATAATGAGAACCTCTTCCGATACACCTCCGGCAGGTGGTTGTACAACGAATCTCAGCAGATGGCTCAGCGTTACATCAAGTTTGATGTCGCTGCTCTACGTCGTATCATTGCCTCTGTCTGCGCTTCCTCTATATCATCCATGGAGAAAAAGGAGGGTTTGTTTAACAAGACTTTAATGGTAACTCTCGCAAATGGGAAAAAAGTCGCTGTCCGCATCAAGGCAAGTCACATTACATGTGCATGGCGCTACTCGTCCTGATCTTCATTCACAGAATCCAATTGCGGGTCCCGACCACCTCATGACTTCCAGTGAGGTTGCAACGATGGATTTCGTCCGCCACAATCTGGGAATTCCCGTGCCTAAGATCTTGGCCTGGAGTTCCCACGCTGCTAATAATGGCGTCGGAGCAGAATACATCATCATGGAGTCCGCTCCAGGTGTCCAGCTTAGCACCGTCTGGCGCACCATGGACTCACGTCAGAAGAAGAACGTCGTCAATTCGCTTGTAGCACTCGAGCAGAACATGCTGAACGCAAAGTTTGCGCAGTATGGTAGTCTATACTACAGGGATGATATTCCCGAGTCGAAACGGGCCCCGCGCTTGTATGCCCACGGATCACGTAGGTTCGGTTCCGAGGAAAAGTTTTGCATAGGTCCCATAGCCCATCGCAATTTCTATGAAGATGAACGTGCGGCTATGGATCTTGACAGAGGACCGTGTGCGTATATCTGACACCGCTTAATTATAGCATGTTGCTAATGCTTGTCAAGGGTCATCCCCGGAGGATTACCTTCGCTCCCTCGCATCGCGCGAGGAGGCATGGATCTCACGTTTTGCCAAGCCTAATATTCATGATGATCCTTTCCGCAATGTCTCTGGCCCTCAGTTCAAGGAAGAGCATCTCCAGTGCTTAGAACAGTATCGTTCAATCATCCCCGCTCTCGTGCCGACCTCGCGAAAGGTCATTGCATCTAATTTGTGGCATTCTGACCTTAATCCTGGCAATATCTTCGTGTCCGATGACGAGGAGCGACGTGTGGTCAGCATCATCGACTGGCAAGGCTGTTGGGCTGGTCCTGCGTATCTTCAAATGACCAATCCATCCTTCCTGGCTTGCGATGTTGCCGGACTTACTTCAGGCCTCGAATTCCCTAAACTTCCTCCTGAGTACGACATCATGAGCCAAGACACCAAGGCTATAATGCGCGAGGATCACAAGGCGCAGATACTTCATAAACTCTATGAAATCAAACAGCTGTACCCTTATCGTATTAGCGATCGCGAGGCGCGAGTAATGCCTGTCCGCGCAGCAGGCCGGACATGGAAAGATGGCATTCTTCCGCTGCGCCTCGCGTTGCTTGACGTCTTCAGCCGGTGGGCAGAACTCTCTCGCAGTGATGAGCCCTGCCCGCTGCGCTTTACGCGGGAGGAAGTGCAAGAGTTGAAGCGTCAACGAGACCGGTATGTAGATTGGCATGACTTCCTGGACGACGTGCGTACGACGTTTGGCATGCGGTTGTACGGATGGGTGTCGCCGCACGAGTACCCATCGAAACGTGCGCTGCTTGAAGGCACACGCAGTCGTCTTCCTGTCGCGCTCACCAGTCAGCTGGAGGAGATTCTTCCTCAGGATTGGTGGCCGTTCAGGGATACGGTCCCTTTACCCTCTGCGCCTGAGGTGCGAGTGTAAGGTGGTCATGTATCTAACATTACTTTCTTTGAGTTCTCATCGATCTTCTTGGAACTGCTATCGTTTTTTTTTCACGATTTTATCTTG